TACACTTATTGATTTCTTTATGTTGAACTAACTCTGCATCCCTAAATGAACCCCAGTTGATTGTGGGGTACAATCTTTTTGATATGTTTTTGTATTTGATTTGCCAGAATTTTATTGAGAATTTTTGCATCTATGTTCATTAGAGATATTGGTCTGAAGTTTTCTCTCTTTCTTTTTTTTATGTGTCTTTGCCTGGTTTTGAAATCAGGGTGATATTGGCCTCATAGAATGAGTTTGGAAGTGCTCCCTTTTTTTCTATTTCACAAAAGAATTTGAAGAGTATAAGTATTAGTTCTTCTTTATAGGTCTTGTAGAACTCCATCTGGTCCTGGGCTTTTCTTGGTTGGTAGGCTTCTGATGGAATTTTCTACTTCATTGTTTGAAATTGACCTGTTTAAATTATGTATATCATCCTGATTCAATATAGGCAAATCATATGACTCTAGAAGTTTGTCAATGCCTTTGATATTCTCTATTTTATTAGAGCACAAGTTTTCAAAATAATTTCTAATTATCTACTGTATTTCTGCAGTGTCTGTTGTGATATTTCCTTTTTCATCATGGATGTTGGTAATTTGAGGTTTCTCTCTCCTCTTTGATAGCATGGCTAAGGGTTTGTCAATTTATTTTTTTCAAGGAACAACTTTTTGTTTTGTCATTTTTTTCAATTGTTTCTTTTGTTTTAATTTCATTGATTTCACCTCTGATTTTAGTTATTTCCTGTCTTATACTAGTTTTAGTGTTGATTTGTTCTTCTTTTTCTAGGGCTTTGAGATGTAATGTCAGATCATTTATTACTGTTGAGTTTTTCTTTTTTTAAAGAATGAACTCCATGCAATGAACTTTCCTCTTAGTACTACCTTCATAGTGTCCCAGAGATTTCAATATGTTGTATCAGTGTTCTCATTCACTTCTAAAATTTTTTTAAATCTCCTCCTTGGTGTCTTCTGCAACCATTGTTCATTAAGTAGCATATTGTTTAGTCTCAGGTGTTGGAGTAATTTTTATTTTTTATTTTATTATTGATTCCTAATTTCATTCCATTATGATCTGATAAAATGCAGAGTAGTATCTCTACTTTTCTATATTTGCTAAGAGTTGCTTTGTGGCAATAATATATGGTCTATTTTAGAGAAGGATCCATGTGCTGTTGAGAAGAAAGTGTATTCAGTTGTGGAAGGTCATCCTTCAACATATATTCTATATATGTCAGTTAAGTCTAAGTTATTGATTGTATTGTTGAGTTCTATAGTTTCTTTTTAAAGATTTTATTTGGAAGATCTATCCTCTGGTTAAAAAAGTGTGTTAAAGTCACCCAAAATTATTATGTTGTTGTCAATTTGACTCTTGAACTTGGGAAGAATTTGTTTGATAAACATAGATGCTCCATTGTTTGGGGCATATATATTTATAATTGTTATGTTTGTTGATGTATGGTTTCCTTGAACAGTATAAAATGTCCTTCTTTATCCCTTTTGATTAACTTCAGCTTGAAGTCTACTCTATTTGATATGAGGATGGACACCTCTGCTTGCTTCCACAGTCCATGTGAGTGGAATGATTTTTCCCAACCTTTCACTTTCAGTCTGGGTATATCATTTCCTATGAGATGAGTCTCCTGGAGGCAGCATATTGTTGGTTTTTTTAAAATCCAATCTGCTAGCCTATTCCTTTTGATTGGTGAGTTTAGGCCATTAATATTCAGGCTTATTACTGAGACATGACTTGTATTCCCAGCCATTTTTGTTTATTTTTGGTATTTAACTTGACTTGATTTCTCCTTTGGTTATTTTTTTCTTTAGTGTAATACTCCCCTGCACATTTTCATTGTTGTTTTCATTTCCTTTTCATAAAATATTTTGCCAAGTATGTTCTGTAGTGCAGGTTTTCTAGCTATAAATTCTTTTAACTTTTGTTTATCAGGGAAGGTTTTTATTTCATCATCAAATCTAAAGCTTAATTTTGCTGGATACAAGATTCTTGGTTGAAATCCATTTTCTTTCAGAGCGTGATCTATGTTGTTCCAGGATCTTCTTGTTTTCAGGGTCTGGGTTGAAAAATCTTTTTTTAGTATTCCTAATTGGTTTCCCCCTGTATGTAATCTGATTCCTTTCTCTTGTGGCTTTTAAGATTCTCTCCTTATTCTGTATGTTAGGCATTTTCATTATAATGTGTCTTTGTGTGGATCTGTTGTGATTTTGTACATTGGGTGTCCTGTAAGCCTCTTGAATTTGGTTTTCCAATTCATTCTTTATGTTTGGAAATTTTTCTAATATTATTTCATTGAATAGATTGTTCATTCCTTTGGTTTGGAGCTCTATGCCTTCCTCTATCCCAATAAGTCTTAAATTTGGTCTTTTTATGCTATCCCATATTTTTTGAATATTCTGCTTATGGTTTCTTATCATTTTCACTGTGTGATCTACATTCTTTTCAAGACTATATATTTTTCCTTCATTGTCTGGGGTCCTGTCTTCTAAGTGATATAATTTGTTGGTAATGCTTTCAATTAAGCTTTTAATTTGGTTTATAGTTTCTTTCATTTCAAGGATTTCTATTCAGTTTTCCATTAGAACCTCTATCTCCCTATTGAAGTAATCTTTGCTTTCTATATTTGCTTATGTAGCTCTTTGTCAAAATAATCTTTTGCTACCTGTATTTGCTCTGATATATCATCCTTTAATTCATGAAACATTTTATTTATGTATATTTTGCAATCCCTCTCTGTAATTCCTTCTGCTGTGCTGGCCATTGATTCTAATTCTTGATTTGTTTGGGGCACTTTACTGTATTTTCATGTTACTCATGTGTCTTCCCTTCCAGCAGTGTGGAACTGTGGAGTTAACATTTTTACCTTATAGGCTTATAGTGCCCCTTTAGGGTTACAATGCCTCTCCTTTGGGGGACAGGACAATGTTAACAGATCCCAATATAAACAAATATACAACCTAAAAACAAATAGTTGCTATTAAGACATTTACCGTTTGGTCACATGTGCAGAATTGGTAAATTTAATTATTATCTACAAATAATCAGTAGGCTTGTAAAGGGTTTACAGTTTCTGACAGTGAACAAAGAAACAGGAGTTAGGTGTAGGATGATAT